ATTTTTTTTTTTTAAGGGGGGAAAATCATCGAATGACTGCTCCCGCCTGGGTGAGGCGGGAGGGAGTGTCAGACTCTTACTGACTAAAAACCACCCCGTTCCTTCTCCTGCACGTCGAGTCGGAGCCCCGGTTACCCGTTAGGTTCTCCGCGACTCCGAATCGGCATCGGCCGTATTGGGCCCCATCTGTGGTGGTCTGATGGCTTTTTGAGGCGCGCGCGGAACGCGACGCGCCGTACGCTCGGGTCTATTTCTGGTCGGACGGGGAGTCACCCATGCTCGCCGTCCGCAGGCCCGCGCTTACGGTGGCTGGAGAACGCGAGGGTATTAAGAGTTGTGCAACTCTTTTCATCACACCAGAACCAAAGAAAGACTTGGGAAATCATTGTCATACCAATAATTAAAAAAACAAAATAAGAGCACGATATGTCGCAGATTCGATTCTTTGAAATATCCTTAGGTTTGGGAGTGTACACAAAAGAAAATCCTAGTTTGTGGTTGTTTTTCTTTTCTTGAATATTTATAGAGCTCTTAGCTAGTATATAGGTACAAAATACATTTTATTCGGTGATGACACCAGCAGAAAAATCTCTTACGTTCCTTAACTTCGGAAATATCCGCACCAGCACAACACCACATCTGTTTTTACATGCATGACGTTACACCTTTGAAAAGGTAAAACCAAATGAAGAGCTGCACATTTTCATCCACTTTTCTATCAGTTATTCGTCAGTGTTATGGGGGTTTGCCTATTATTATATAATTGTGGCGGGCACAAAACTATACCAGCTTCGTGATATTAATTGGTAAAAAATTTCGAACGTATGTACCTATTTCTAATGCTATTTTCGGCGAAGCTTTACCAGCAAATCGAACTCGAGTATCTGTTCGACAGCCGCGCTTTACACTCGACCAACGAGGCAGCCACAATGGATTTATTTTATTTATTAAAACAAATCCATCAGTAGATGATATGATATGTACGAATAAAGGAGTAGGTCAGGCCAATAAGTATAGAAGTCCACGTAGGGTTGGCTGCATGTTGGCACAATGGCTGGGTTACTGGCTGCTGCACAATGTGTAGCTGGTTCGATTCCAACAACTTTGTATGATCCACAACTTGTTTCACCGGGCCGGGCCCTACCTACCGATATACCTAGTTTAATTTTTATCCAATAGATAGAAGCCTGTCCGCCAGTCCATTGGTCACCAGTAAAACTATAGAGCCGCGATGTAGATTTAGGCAGGTATACAATATTTATGAACGAAAAACACATTTTTACATAAACTTTAGATATTTTAGGAAATTAGGTACATTAACAGTTCAAGGAGATTTAATAGCCATTATGCGTGTTTTAAAATATAATGAAAGTTAATCGAAACTATACATTATGAAAATGTAACAATTAGATACATTTATGTGGGACAAATATGCAATGAATAAAAATGGAATTAGCTAACTAATGCTCATGAACAAAGCAGGCAGTGTTCTACGTTTTTATAAATATGCATCTTAAATTCAAAATAATACAAAATCAATCTTATGATAATCAGATAACATTACTTTTTAAAATGCAATTTAACTACATTCCTATTTACACAAATCATATGCTCAATATAAATCAGCAAAGGATTTTTGTTCACTTCATTCATCACTCAACTTAAAATAAGAATTACAGTTAGTGTAAAATTAAATTAGTCAATTTTTACTGCAGCATAAATTTTTCTTATAAAAGTATATGCTGCGAAGAATCCGATGGTGCCAGTGAGAAGCCAAAATGTTAACACCATAAGACCTGGAAAATATAAAATTTTATAGACACAAACACCGACCAATAGTTATGAAACAAAAATAAACTATAAAGTATAGATAAACTACTTCGAATACCAATTTAATAATGAATTAGGTCAAATAAAAAAAAAATCTTCGCTTTTTCAGTTGGAAATTATTATTTTTCATCACAATTAAAAAGTAAGAAAATATTAATATTCTAATTACCTGTGTAGCCAATATAAAGCAATGTTGGTATAAATTCTGTGATTTCCAATTTCGTGAAAAAGTAAAATATCGAGTATATTAAAATATAAACAGCAGATCCTCCCGACACGACAAAACTCTTCCACCACCAATGGTAATCCTGAAGACAAAAGAAAAATAAATAAGTTTTGAATTATTAAAAATAGTAAGAGTAAAAGTTATCATGATTACCTCTCCACACAGTTGAAAATACACCATAACAATTGATATTTGTGATACAGACACCACAAGTATACAAAACACGAGGAATAGGAATCCAAACAAGTAATAAAACTGGTTCTCCCACAGTGCGTTGAAAATAAAGAACAGTTCAATGAATACTGCCCCAAAAGGTAGAATGCCAGCCATCAAAACGCTGAAACAATTGACATTACAGTATTACGGTAAAAACATGAAGTATTTATTACTAAACTAACTTATTATAGCAATGACCAGATTATTTAAAACATTATTTCATCATTTTGTGAATAAACTTTGATTTGATTCAGTCTCCAGCTCTAATAATCTGCAGTCATCGGAATTATACATAGCAACTACAATCAACTGTATTATATCTTTGAAGTAAAGTAATAGGTCTTACCAAATAAATATGTTCATGTACCAAACTTGCTCAGGAACTTTCCTTGGAATGAAATTAGTTCGAACTGGATGTTGGAATGGTTGTTTTCGACATCCAAAGTAATATCCCAAATATACTAATGGCAATGATATGCAGAACCAAAGACATAATAAAGCCATCATGGTCGAAAATGGAACTGCGCCACTGGAATGTTTACCCATAATAAAAAAGTTTAAAAAGAAGCATGTTCCAAACACAATAGCTGGGTACAGAGTCGCCGTTAGGAACGCAGCCTGCTGCCATTGTTTTCCCTTCATAGTATTGTATAATCGTGCCGAGTAATAGCCCGCAATGAGGCCCATAAACACATAGAGAAATATGGCGGCAGTCATTAGCGCACCGCGGCTCGCCGGTGACAACATGCCAAGCATAGCAATGACTGAAAAGTACAAAAATATTAGTTAAGCAAACTTATTAATTACTATGTAAAGCAAAATATAAAATAACATATTTTTATTAATATTGTCATTATCCTCACAACCACATGATTAAAAATTTAATGATTACTTTTAACAATATGTATGTTCATTTGATTAACAAACGAAATTGCTTTACAACATTTATCATGGTTTTAATTGATCAAAATTTAGAGATTAATACCAATATTTTTATCAAACTTGTTATGATAACACCACTTATCCAACTCAATATAAAACTCAATTACTCAAACCATGCCAGTTTATAATTCCATGTGATGTAAAAAAGAGGTGAACTTACAGATTGTGATTAGGGTCATAAGAAACACTTGTATGCCACTACCAATAACAGCAGCAAATAACATTCTCTTTGGTGGTGGACGAAACACATCACCGTGAACCAATTTCCAACCAGTTTCTTCCATCATATCATCAATACTCTCATCTGAATTATAACGAGCTATATCTCTTCTTAATGTGCGCACCATTATCATTGTCAAAATACCTGTAAATTTAAAATTTGTAAAAGGAATATTTAGTTATTTCAAACTTCATCTACATATATATTTTTATTGACAATGTTCTTCGTCTAGTGTTTGATAAATATGCGATTGCAAAGCTGAACTAACATTATAATTCATAATACTATTGAATACCTACCTAGCTGTTTATTACTAATAGAAAATAAATAAATTACCTGATAAAAAGGACAAAACAACAATGGAATTAATAATGGAAAACCAATGGATTTGGACATCTTTCATGCCTAAATAGATATCCCATCTTGATGCCCAGCTTATTTCAGATTCTCCCCACTCAACTGAGTATGTGAAATATAACTTAGTGCCAGTGTCTTCATTGACCAGCTGTGGTCTGGGGTCTGATGGAAACTGGCATGAATCATCAGCAAATGTCAGTTCATCCTTGTCCACGGATACAGTTTCTACTTCAAAACCAACCACTCGATAGGAGTCTCTGGAAAATCACAATGGTTGACAATTTTAACTCATTTTTATGTTTATTTTATTATAGTGTATACTATGGATCAGTTTGGTACACATTAATAGCTCAATATAATGTTAATATTTGCGCCTATAACATGTTCATTAAAACACATAGGGAAAACTTATTAAAATAAATGAACCTAAATATTATTCTTATCTAAATATTATTCTTAAGTGCTAGTAATTGGTAACATTTCATTGATTTCTCATATACACTAATTGTTCATGTATAATAAAAAAAAAATATATAAAATCACTACTAAAAGAAACACAATTGTACTTACTGGCTATGCTTATGATATTTGAGTAATAGTTTCAAATGATTGTTGATGTATGCCTTGCCTTTCGACATAAAACCAAGACGGTAGCCTTGCTCTATATTTCTTTCAGAGGTGTCACTGTTTGTGATTCTGGTAGCTACTGGTAAATTATCAACAAGCCTAAAAGGTAATTTAAATCAATAATTAATCACAAGTAAATTGATAGCAAAAACAATTACAGGGCCATAGCTGTCAACTTACATGTTTATATTTAGTACACTTACTGTTAAATAATATTAAAAATTAACATTGTATACTCACAAATGCACAAAATATTCGTGCTCAATACGACCTGCAACTTTTTCAGATTCCTCAACACTCCAGTTTATTGGATTATTTTTCTGATGGCATAGAAGTCGGCATTTAATGTTCTCAGCCATATGGACTTCATACGGGGTGTTTACTATCCGGTCTCCGCGTAATACTTCACCTAAATTCTCTGATTTATATACAAATGTACCATTCTTGGGTAAACACAAAGGTAAAGAATAATATTCGTATGGAAGTTGTGTGTGTATACTAGTCATTTTGACAGCTTTAACTTCAATCCTCTGGCCTTTTTTGAATTCCACCGGAGCCACCCCGGGTACGTAGAATCCATTACTAAAGTTAACGAAGCTGCTTAATAAAAAGCAATATAAAAGAACCTACAAAAGACAATAAAATTACATATCACTTCAATAGAAACAAAATAAAAACAATACAATTTAATAGATACGCACCGATAGCATATTGTAACAAATATTATTTAGATAAAATTAAAATAAATTATAATCATTCTACATTAGGCTGTTTCGTCGCGTTTACCATATATCTATCTGCCACTTCTTCTGTCAAAAATGTAATAATGTCAAATATGACATTAGATATGGCTGAGCATTTCTCAAAAAAAATGTACCATTTCTTAGAAAATATGATAAAATGAAAATATTGATATATTCTTGATTTCTTTGTTTTAAGCTACGGGTTAAGGTCTAAAGTTTATAAATATGAGGTTTGTTTTCTCATATAAAACGTAAATAAATAGCAAAATCTATCAAAACCAAACCAAGGTGCAAAAAAATTCTTATTTTGTTACCCTCGCTAGATTAAGTGAATTTAATATTGAATTATATTAGTAGAAGTTTTTTTTGATTAAAATGGGATAATAAAACAAAATTTCATTTGTTTTTCAAAAATGAGTCTATATTAACAGAAAAATCACAAAATATCGGCAGTAATGCATCCTTTACGTTACTATTCGGCCACAACTCTTGATTTATCTTTATATTATTGAGTCTATTGTATTTCTTTTCATATTTTTTTATAGATAAATAATGCAAAAAAGAAATATATTTTAGGTTTTATAACAAAAACATATTAAAACCTTTTACAATATTTAAAAAAGAAAAGAATTATGTGCCCGCTTTTATGGGACAGTAACAAAAATATAATTCTGGTAACAAAATAGGATTTCTTAAGCCTAGACTTCACAGTACGGCAAACAATTTTTTTGACGTAATTATATTGCCACGGTCAGCAGATATTTTTCATGATATCCTTATTATTAAAACTAATGATTTGGAATATTAAGAACAAATTATAGGAATGAATCGATTTTAATTAAACTTTATACCCATACGCAATGTATCAATATATATATTTTACGCAATGTATATTTTTTCATCTTCTGCTTCGTCTTCGTTTTATGATCACGCTACTTTTTTCGTTGTTTCTCTTTTCCCCTTCAGTCATGTCCTTGACTTTTTTGTAAACATACTTTGATTTTCAATAAGACAATTCTCGGGTTCTTTTTCCCTTGTTCTTCCATTTTTTCAGGGTTGCTTTTAATCTTTCTCGATACCGCCACATTTTTTCAGCCGGGGTTAGTAGAGGCGTATTTAATTCGGAGCTGTAAAATATAACCAATCACCATACCTTACACAATGAAAAACACATATAAAAGCATTTTTTAAACATGGTTAATAAGCCAAACATACAGGCCAAACATTATTTAAATAAATATAATTTGAAGCACCAGCAAAAATAATTTCATATTCAGCTTCATAGCATTCATAGAAACAGCCCACCATTATATAAGAAAGAAATAAGAAGAAGTAATGTGAGAAAGAGGTTCTTTTATTAGATATCTAAAAATATTCTTATTAACAGCTGAAAACAAAATCACAAAGCTCCCAATCAATTTCACACAATACCTATTATTTATTCAATACATATATAGAAAATATTATATTTTATAATAAGACTTTGTCAAATAGTCAATACTCTGCATTACAATTTCCTATTTTGTTACCTTCTTTTCCATGTATACGTTACCACTCAAGAGTAACAAAAAAGGAGGTAACAAATTAAGTCAAATAAATTAATAAAATTATATACGCATACAATTAACACTGGTATTCGTTTTTGATTTGACTTACGAAATTAAGATTGAGAGCTTTAATGGTTCTACATGTGAAATAAAAATAAATATTAGAGCTTACCTGCGTTTGTTGGGTAACAAAGTTGGGATATTTTTTGGACCAGTGTGCTAACAGACAATATTTTGTTCGCGCACATGCGACTTAAAAGAAATTTCAAAACGGAATTATGATGGATGGCAATCTTGCGAATGTTGCTACTGTCCTAAAGCGTGTTTATACCAAATTGACTCTGTTAAACTACAAAAATATGGTAACAAAAGAGGAATTTCAAATGGGAACTTTTTACAGGATACAATAAAATAATGATTTATTAAATAAATTTGTTCTAATACGACACAATATTAATTAAGAAATGGATTATGTCCGTTTTGTTCTAAATAAATACAATAATTATTTCTACAATTTTCACAAGTCCTCTCAAACACAATCGATTGTTTAGGAAGGTATGAAATTGAGACACTTCACTTTTCATACAACTGAATTAGACCGATTATTAAAGAATTTTTCTAATAAATAATCTATTAATATTTTTCTGGCTTATTAGTGTTTTTTACTTAGTTTATTAAACTTAGCAAGTATATAATTTAATTGAAACTGGTAATGATCTATTTTATATATAGAAAAAAATATTTCAAAACATGGGACAGTGATTTAGATAAAAAGTACATTTTTTTTGAGAAATGCTCGGCTGCATTCAAAAACGAAGTTTGTCCATGGAAGGTACGTCTTGATTAATCAACATTTAAAAAACACATTAATCTAGCAACACTGACTTCTAAATCATAGACCGCATCTCTATGATCTGGTGTCATCTTCTAACATCTATCAATCAAACGAATAACTAGCGAATAATAGTGCCCGCCGCGCGTCACACGCACCGTTGATTGGTTTTCAGTGACAAATTATAAGATTTTATAGTTGCTAAAAGTACATCCGTGGATAAATATTAAGTGCCATACCTTCTACATTATTGTATTATACATTCTGCCGGAGAAGCTGCATTTTAAGAGAGGTTAACAACTCAGCATTATGGTTCAGGTGATTGTTTTGAAGTTTAGTTAAACCATGTGATTAGTCATTAAATTAAAACAAAGTTATTTTTAAGTAATTTACCAAATTTCGTTTTAAACTTTAATAAACCCATGCTTTAAACAAGACAAGTTGATTTTAATTTAACTGTATTATGATTCTAGGCTTCAGAGGAAGTAGAGCAGCCTGACCTGCCTCAAGCTGTAAAGCTGCTTAAAGAAATGAACACTAACGTGCAGCAGGTATCACAACTCGTGGACAACATGCTAGTGCGCGTCAAAAGCGGAGAACTATCAACAGATAAAGGTCTTAGTTTTCTAGAAATGAAATATCAAATGCTACTTAGTTATTTAATTAATTTAACTTATATAGTTCTAAGGAAATGCTCTGGTGAAAGAATAGAATCAGACCCATCGATTGAAAGGCTTATTGAAATAAGAACCGTTCTTGAGAAAATTCGTCCTATTGACTCCAAACTAAAATATCAAATTGACAAACTTGTTAAAACTGCTGTTGTTGGTGGCACATCAGAAGACGATCCTCAAGCATATCATGCTAATCCTGCAAACCTAGTGAGTAAAATCAATGACTCTGCAGAAGAATCTAGTGAATCTTCAGATGAGGGTGAAACCAAGACAGACAAGGCTAATAAATCAAATATTTACGTGCCCCCTAAATTAGCTGCCGTGCATTTTGATGAGAGTACCTCAAGAATTGATAATGATAAAAAGATGAAAGAAAAATCAAAGAAGCAGTTCTTGAACTCCAGCATAATGCGAGAACTCCGTGAAGAGTATTCTGAAGCTCCACTAGAAGTCAGCACAGGGAATCATGTAAAACAGTCAATATCGAAATATGAACAAGAAAAAACTGAATATGAAGAGAATTACTTGACACGTCTGCCAGTTACTAAGGCTGAGAAAAATCGCAGGAAAAAATTATCTACAGTAGGAATGATTGCTGATGAAATCACAGGTACAAGCAGTAACCGTGTATCACGGAAGCATAAAATGAAATCAAAGAAAGGTAAAGGTTTTAAGAGAAGGCGTACACAATGAGATAACATTTTCAATTAAATTTTGTATCAATAAGATTGTATTGTTGTAAAGAAATGCCTCACTTCATAGGATTGGCAACTAGAGTTCCAAGTTATTGAATTAAACTTATTTTTCTCTGTATTTTTTTTTGTTTTTTATGACACACCAAAACTTGATTCATTATATACTTCTCAGAATAATAGTATGAATCACATGAATAAGTTGGAAATATTTAATTTTGTAAATAAATGGGTTTTCCTAAATGTTGTTTACAGATATAGGTAGCCAAATAAACATAGAGCAGGCCACAGAGAAGTTGTTTTAGTTTAGTATCTTTACTGAAAATGAAATGTCTTAATAAAAAATACCATGCACTGCAAGTTGCATTCAAAGCCGAGAATTGTCTACAAAAAGCTTTGCGAAAATACAGTACATTCAGGTATCTGCTGAATAATACTCTAGGAAACAACTAGTACCTACTGTATTGCTTCTGAGAGAAATGTTCAGCAGAGGTTAATTGTATAATTTAGAAAGTTTGGCAAATTATAAATATTTCTGCATATGTACCTTATACAACTAGCAGTTTGGTGTATGTACTGGGAAACCGCTTACATTTTCTTTACACTCTTTATTTAATTTTAGTTATTATTTTTAAAAGTGACTATGTTATGTATAACTAAATATTTTGTGAATATTTTACTTGAGCCTTTTTAAATGGTTGATTCAGATTTTAGTATTCATGTTGTTATAGTGGCAACAGAAATCAAAGATAATTTTGTATAAATGATTTTTCCATAATTCAATAGAATGAAATTTCAATACTGGCACTGCCACTGCCACTGACAAGATTAAAAAATGGAATAAAACATATTATAGGTCTAACATTTATTTTAATTAAATTACAATACAATTTTATTAAAGGTAAAATAAATACATAACAATTTTAATGAAAACTATTCCTTATAAAGTAGATGCATAGGAAATTTTAAAAATTCATGTTTCATTACTTACTAGCTGTTTTGAAACAAACTAGTTATTCATCCAAATAAAAATATACGAATTTAATCGTTTTCAGAATCACAGAATTTCCAAAGTTAATATCTCAGTTAAATGAGTTCGGGTGGACAAAAAGAATTCATAATCCTATGTTTAAGTTCTATTTTGTTTTTGTTTGTGTTTGATTTAATTTTCGTTTATTTTTGAGATTGAATAATTATAATAAATTAATGTATTCATATCTTTTTGTTTTCATTAGTGTCTAAAGATTTCTCAAGATTGGGGAAATTTTGAAGGCACGTTGCTGGATCGAAAGATTGGCAACGGAATAATCTCATTTCACGTATGTGTCCTATAGGCGTGTGTGTATCCAGACACTGGTAGTCACCACGTGGTGGTGCTGTGCCGTGGTTGTGTGTGAGGTCCGATCGAATCACCCTGTTGAGCAGCCAGGGCGGAGAAGACATCATCAACTGAAACAAAAAGTGTCAAGTCAGCTTATTTCCACAGGTATAGTCAATTTTTACGAGAATGGAAAGTTATCAAATGACTCCCGCCGTGGGCGAGCAGGGGAACTGTCAGACTCTAACTGAATGAAACCCCTGTTCCACCTCATTCCCTATTCTAGGGCCACCGAATATGGATGGTCTTACCCGAGATCCTGGCAGTACTTACCTATAAGGCCTGCCAATTTGTTTGTCTATTGAAGAAATTCGAATACATACCTACGTCAAAATACCAAGGTGCCTAAGTACCCTGTCAGGATCAGTCAGAGCAGGTTTCTATCTTCTATATATATATATAATTCAAAGGTGACTGACTGACTAAAGTGATCTATCAACGCACAGCCCAAACTACTGAACGGATCAGGCTGAAATTTGGCATGCAGATAGATGTTATGACGTAGGCATCCGCTAAGAAAGGATTTTGATCATTTTCATCCCAAAGTGGGTAAAATAGGGGGGTGAAAGTTTGTATGATACTTTGCCAGTTTTAAACTGTCAAACACCAAGCGGTCACCGGTGACCGCAACCTATCGTTCTATAATTGTGTCTATAATGACGGTACTCGACGAGTTAAACCGATCGGGCTGAGACTTTGCATGCATAAAGTTACTATGATATAATAATAATAATAAATGAATCTAGAACCATTCAATCTTTTTGAATTACCTACATTCGGTCAAAGTCAAAGCATTTATTTCAATTAAACCATATTTTGGTACTTTTGAAACGTCAACAAATACAAAAAAATAAAAACTGCATTTAAAAAACCGACTTCAAAAACCAAAAACTAATAACAAACAAAAAGTCAAAACTAAATAGCAAAAAATAACTATTATTAGTACTGATAGGTTACCCACCCACTGATAGGTTAGAAGTCGGTGCCATAAGTTCCATACAAAATTATTCATTAAAACCTTAATACTACCTACTACTTACCTAATTCACAATTTTGTGGACATTAAGTTATATCATTATGATATGAGCTTATGGCACCGACTTCTAACTTATCAGTGGGTGGGTAACCTATCAGTATCAGTACTAATAATAGTTATTTTTCTACATTAGAATATAAAATACTAGTCTACATTAGAATTAAAGTATTCAATTACCTACTATTGGAATTTAACTACTGACTAACTGACGGTAAAACGATGACCTGGGTAACGTATGATAGTTTTTATCACAGAAGTCCCACGGGAACGGGAACTATGCGTCAATGCCCCAGGACTCTCTAACTCTTAACCACTGAACTTATTCTAGAGAGATTCGGTATAACAATAGTCGATAGAATAGTTTTTATAACTCAAACCTTACGTGATCGGGCACTGTACAGGTAAGATCCCTGCGGGATTATTTATTTCTGGAAACTACGATAAATCATTTCACAGTAGGTAAATATTACTTGGGCAATTGATTTTGACCAATTCTGTCAGAAGTCATTAACAGCACAAACAGCTAGTTTATATATAAAAATCTAGGCTGGTCTAGTTCTCATGTGTGACATACGTACCGGCTTAGCCACTGATGGATAAGGATTCCTGTAATCGTCTTTTTGAGTACAAATGTAATCCATGACTCCGAAATCTGGAGGCAGTTGGGCTAAATCGGCACTTTTCATTAACTTATTTCGGCCTGGAGTGCTTCATAATATAAAACAAAAAGTTATGTTGAGTAGAAGAATTAAAGATGACCTACCAAAGTAATTGGTTAATAATAAGGTTTCAAATTCAATTAATTTATTTAGTACAGAGAGAGTGGTCCCAAGTGTGATTACGAAAGGGTCAGGATAGATTATTCGAGTATTTTTCAGTTTTGTAAAATTCTCAGTATCTATCCTCAGTGCCTACGATGACTATCTTTAGGTTCCTCTTCTTTATAAATTATCATGAATTTTACATGTCTGCGTTACGCAGGCGGTGTTTTGTCTCATACAATTCCTTACATTACAACTCAGTGGCGTGCTACCCGTACCGTGCAGGTCTACGCATACACAGTCAGTCTGCTTAGGCCATTTAGCATTGCATTAATATCAACAACTTTACTTTTACATTGTAAGTTATAAACAAGAACATCAAGTCTTATTTCTAAATTCCACTTACTCTGTGCATGGATAAGATGTGAAATTAACTAGTGGCTTGAAGGAATATATTGGATCAGTTTTATTAAATATTTCTGCGAGCATGTGGCGAGTTTCGGTCATGCCCGTACCTTGGTCATTATCACCCAAACGATTGTATGTGCTAACGTGGTTACTTAGCTGGTCGCGGTACACATAATTATCTTTTTTTTCCGCAAGTATAGCAAAGTTCCAGTTTTCCACTTTTGTTTTCGGACTATACATATTTTTCGAAAACAAAATTTGCTGCGGCTTTTTCGCTGTTGCATGTCGAGGCCTCATTTTTCCCGACTAAATGAACCTAGACCAGTAAGTTCTACCGGTACTACACAAATAAACGAATCGTATTGTTATAGTAAAAATATGTTGTACAGATAAGATGTAGGTACTATCTTATGACAAAAGTCAAATTTCTAACGTCATTGTGATTTGAAGGAATTAAAACGAAACCAAAAAAAGTATTTAATATTGTCTAATATTGACTGACTGAAAAAAGACTTTACTCATAAATACTAGGTACTATCTACTTACTATCTATCCAGGCACCTATTGTTGCGAGGGGGTAATCGAATCGGGATACGTTGTCCAACCACTACACTACTAACCGTAATATTATTATTTATTTGTTTTTGCCGCGACACCTCCAATATCGTTGCGGAAGGGCGACCGCCTCGTTTTAGTTTCATTCACAGTTACGCTACGATTTCCGTACCCCGAGAAACGCATTACGTATTACGCGCCACGATCTACGCTCTACTATCTCTGTACTACGAACTAAGAGCTACGAACTCTGTACTACGAGCTACGCTCCACGAACTCCAGACTACGAGCTACACTATGCGCTACGAAAGATGCGCAACGACGAACTATGCGCTACGAATTCCATGCTACGAGCTACACGCTACGAACTGGTTCCTTTTTGACTATGCGAGGTATGATCTTTGCAACATTTTACATGACATATTTTCATATATTGTGGGGATTTTAATTTAATAGATACACACTATGTATTTATGTACAAACCTATGCTAAATACTAATTTTGTTCATTAAGTGCTGTCAATCATAGTAAATGTAGGCGAATGATATAGGCTATAACACTCGCCTACATTTACTATAATTTATAGCTAATCAGTGATTAGCTATAAGTGATTAGTAATCACTTTAATACCGGTAAGTAAGACAAAATAGAAAATATCTCGCGTAGATCTGCGTACCGGTACATTAAATGATTATTTCAATGCACTCGAGATCACTTGGCAGTTATCGTTATGCTATCTCTAGGTACTTCATCAGGAATTCTCAAGAACGTATGTACATACCGACCTACCTATTTTCTACTTGTAGGTAATAAGAAAATAGTACAACAACATAACACTTCGAGGATAAAAAGCACGCTTTTTATCCTCGAAGTGGTAGGCAGAGGTGTACATTCATATATTGCGGTACTTAATGCCACTGTACAGTGTAATACCCACTTTTCAGTATTTATTACGAGTCCCATGTAATAGGGGGTCAGCCTCTTGTCATATACCGGGCACATTTCCAGACCCCGTGATACTACTGAGATTTTTTTTAAAACAACCTAATAATAAGTATACAGTCAAGAAAAAAAATACTAATGTGGACACTTACTTGGAAATTTTTATTGGTTTTTATTCATTTAGATCTTGCACCGTGTCCCGCTGGTGTACTTGGTGGTGCTATAGTTTCATTGTACATAACCATTTCTTTATACTTCAGTTCTTCATCTCTTACGCGAATGCTTTCTTCAGCGCATGAAATTAAAGCTTGAAAAAATTCGAAAAACGAAAGTTCTATGTCTAGATTCATAATTTTATTTTGTTCACATAACTGTGGAAATATTCTTGAAAATATTTTTATGATAGCTTTGCTTGATAAGTTGCCGAAGTTGAACAATTTTAAATTCTCAATATCTTCTGGTAATTCAAAAATATCAGGGAGCTCGTTATCATCTGGAATAAATGCAAATCGATATTATGTTATGAATGGCTATGAATTCGTATATCTGTAGTATATTTAGTTACTGCAACAATCGTGCATTCAATGTATAAATAAATACTTTGGATAATAATACTTACCAACAACAAAGGACAATTCATCTCCAAATATATAAACGTTCCTCCCTAACGGCAGGTATATATCGGGTACTTCGACAAGATCTGGTTGAAGATGGTGCAGGAAGTGTGGTGATCGGCGAACGGCGCATAGAAAAGTGCGCACTGTGTGTGGTTCTCCCAAACTGCGATATAGGTCGTAGGTGGCTCTTAACGGTACAAATTGACCGAAACCATTTACCAGGTGACCTAAAATGTTAATGTCTTAATATTATACATATATTTACACTCACTATCACTAATCAGAGTTATAAATATACTTATAACTCTGATTACACTCATACAATGTTGTCCATTTTCTTTAGAGGTAATTAACTCGTCGAGCACCGTATTTATAGACACAATTAAAGAACAATAGGTTGCGGTCACCGGTGACCGCTTGGTGTTTGACAGTTTAAGTAAATACTTTATATCGTTCAATGTCTCCGGGGGTCACCCGGGCCTGATGATCTGTAACACAGGTTATACCTTTAATCCTCTAGTACCTCTAGTAGAGTACTTAGAGGATTATTATTATTATTATTAGTAATAAACTTGAAAGACCTACCTCTCTGACGACTAGTTCCCGGAATAACATCATTATCCATGAAATTTCTAAGAGCACATGCTATGATTGTGTCCGGTTTAGCACCAGGCAATACTCTTTTTGCATATAATCTACTAGCAACCGAAATTACACTATGTAAGAACTGCCAAAAGTAAATCTTCTCGAACGGATTGTGAGCAGACCTTGCAAGCCATTCAGGATTTTGGTGATAAATCCTATCAATCTCAATGAGTGTTAAACCTCGCTCGTGGACATTACAGTCGTAATATAATTGCCATAAATATAAACGAATCAATATAGGCGTGAACCCTACTTCTTTAGAATTGCAAATAGTAGCATACTTGTAGTAAATGTTCAACAATTCAGTTTCGTAGCATTTCAAACAATTTCGCAGCGAAGTTTCCTCAAACATGATCAGCGTGACCAATTTTTCTTTTCTAATTGCTTCTTCTGAGGAAGTCTCCTGATTTACACCAATTTTTAAAAGTTCTTTATTTATAATATTATTATTTTCCATGTATTCCATGATTATATTTTTTCTTATTTCATCCCGTTTATCTAAATTTTTAAACGCTTGGTCGACATGATAACTGAGGCCTACATTATTGTCGCATATATCAAATTTATGTGGTTCGTGGCTAATTGATAAATCTCTTTTGGTTTGCTGTAAGTATCTTGCTTCGGTTTCAAGCGCTGGTGCTATATTGTCATCAATGAAAAGGTTTTTATCTTGGATAATTAATCCATTGTTCGTGACAAACTTGCCTACTCCGTGCTTTTTATTTTTATTAAACTCGCCCTTATAATGCGAGCCTAAGCCCAATCCGAGGTGAAGAGTACCATAGCCATGGCGTTGACCTTTTTCCCATGTACCACAAAATGAATTTATAGAAGGCACTGACATTGTGTTATTATAAGAAGTTTCCCATATGTAAATTCCGTAACCGGACATAACTCCATTATGCCACTCACCACGGTAAAACTGTAAAAATATATAAATTAGTTCATTTGAGACAAGGCGGGTTACGTAACAAGATTAAAGCAGAAAAAATACTGTAAAAAAACCAAGGCCCAAAAACAAAGTAGCGTCGAAAACTTGTTACAGTACACAAAAAAATCATTACACAAGACTGTAGTCTTTAGGTTCCTAACTTCCTAAGCGCTGAAATACAGTAGGTACAATAATTAATTAGGTACCTACCTTGGTAATTCTACCTAGATACCTAACAATTTAATGACAGAAGATATCTATGAGTTATGAAAATGAAACTTACATCGTGGTTTGGCCATATCATTAATCCCTTCCCTTGCCTAATATTTCTGTCCCAGTCTCCTTTATATCCACTTGATTCATCGTACTCCCGAGAACCGTACCCGAATCGTTCATTCTTGAAAATATATATGAAACGCATGTACAATTAATATTTGTGACTATAACACAATAATTCTAAGTAGTAAGTAGCACGGAGTCTGGAAATGTGTCTGGTCTATTTCAATAGGCTCATCCCCTATTACATGGGACTCATAGCATAATTAGTGAAAAGTAGGTCTTACATTGTATAGTGGCATTAAGTGCCGTAAATGTGCACCTCTGCCTTCGGGGATAAAGAGCGTGATGTTATCTTATGACAATAACACAATCTGAAACAATTGTGGAGGTACCAACAAAAAAATACTGGTTAAGAACAACAATACCTATTTAATTTGAACAAAGAAGCAATTTTTAGGTACACCCTAATCGTACAAGTAATTTTGAAAATAGATATTGTTGGATATTACTTAGGTTAAGAGTGGGGTTAGGATGACAGTTACTATATAAGCGGCGGAATACCGGCGCCTTGCCCCTCAAGCCAAATACCTTGGAGTAATCCTCGACCACCACCTTAGTTTTCGAGAGCACATTAAGACGGTTCGCTCGCGGGCCGCCTTCGCACTTGGTAGACTCTTCCCCATGCTGAAAGCACGCAGCAAACTATCGCTTAAATGCAAACTTCGCATTTATACCACTTGCATACGCCCAATCATGACGTACGCCTGCCCGGTGTTCGCTCAAGCACACGACAGCACGATCCATAGGATGCAAACCCTCCAAAACCGATTTCTCCGAAGGGCCACGTCTGCCCCGTGGTGCCTGAGGAACGATCGACTCCATCTCGATCTCAAAATTCCGACTTTGAAGCAGTTCATGAAACGCTTGACCAAGCGCTATTTTGAATCTGCGGAGAAGCACTCAAACCCCCTCATTGTAGCGGCCGCCCGGTACACACCCTCTCAAATATCCCGCATCAGACGACCCCGGCACGCCTTAGTCCAACCCGACGATCCCACCACAATCCTACAGGAAAGCCGTAGGGAAACTAGCACTCTGAGAAAACACAAATACAGACCGCGTTCCACGTTCCGGCCCAGCCGCCGAGGCCCGTCGCGACGTCCTGGTAACGATCCCCCCCGTCCCTTGCTTATGGAGCCAGCCCGCGTAGCTGAGCAAATAATAACGCTAAATAGCCCCGTAAATAATCAGACCCAGCCTGTCCCGACTTGCTGCCCCCCCGAAATGGCCCCGCTGAGCCGAGGTTCGTACCCCACAGGGGGTGCCCTCAGCGATGCGGTCATTTACTTTTAAATTTTAGCTTAGTTGCCCTGGCTGGGGGCCTTAACTTCTTGTTAGTGGCCACCGCAGGGTTTGTCCGGTTAAGTAGTCAACAGCCTTAGCGTGCTGAACTACGAGTGGTCCTAACCTAAAAAAAAAAAAAAAAAAGCGCCTTGCCCCTATTCGGTCACCATTGGATAATTGTGTAAAAATTTTAATTTTAGGTTTAAGGTAATATTTTTAGGTTTAAGGTAATAAATTGTCCTTTTTAATAAATTCAACCTGCTTCTGATTTCTAATTATATTATAATAATACGAACAGTACGAACTCACATGAATCCACTGACCATCATAGGAATTCTTGAAGTTATGAGAATAGTAAATGACTCCATCTCCGTGTTTAGTTCCACAGTGCCACCCGCCCACGTAGGAACGTTGGGTACGGGAGTCTACATATATGCCATTACCATGGCGCAGGTTACCAACAAACTCTCCTTCATACCACGTGTCATCTTTCCAGTGAAGCACACCCTTTCCGTTGATTTCATTGTCTTTAAATTGACCCTTAAATAAAATTACGAGCCCACAATTTACACGCCCTACGATGTGAGCGTAAGCTACGGCTACGGCTGTAGGCTATAGTCGTAGCTCGTAGCACTTAGTCGTAGCACGTGTAAGAGTGTTTTACGGCGTTAATCTTCCAAGCTTGTAAACTGTGAACTTGGCTGGCGAGTCAGCCACGAGTTAAACTGACTTGACGTTGACTCGGGTATATACCATGAGTCAAAAATGACCGTTTTGATGTGCGTCATGTACGCCTCGACGTAAAAATAACGTTTAATGTTTACACTCTTCTAGGACATATTTGTGGAGTTTGTAAACTCTTTCCGTGCGACTAAACTGAACGGAAAACACTGCTATGCGCTACTAACTACGTGCTAGAAAATATGGCTACAATATTTCGCCGTAACTTAAAGGTATCTCATATGATAGTGTTCAACTCACCAAATAAGTAGTTCCGTCACTCCAAACAAAACGACCTTCTCCGTGCATACATTTAGAAGATATGCTTCCTTCGTAGAAATTGCCGTTGCGAAATTTAATAATGGCTTTTTCATCAGGGATAGCCCACCAAACCGTTTGGATAGAGTCCATCTGTGCATTTAAGATACATAAATGGAATTTGAATGCTTAAGGTACTTTACCCAATTCTTTCGACGTTTGGCCACTGTCTTCCCTGGTGGGAAGTAATGATGATGGGCCCTGAAGACACCTAGATTCGAGGAGAACTTCCTGTATAACTATATAACCCACCTTTTGTTAAGTTTTGTAGCTATAGATTTTAATTGGAACAGGAGACATTATAATAACTAGCTAGATCCTCATAGGTATTAATTTCCACACAAGGATTAAACTCACACCTAGAATGAATTTTTTTAACTTATCTTGTTTTTGCATGCTACAGAAATATTAATAAAACATATTGTACCTTAACCATGTTTTTGTAACACCTAGCTATTTACCAATTTTTAAGCAAACAAGCATGTTATTTTTATTATAAAGGTCGCTCGTAAAGTTCGATAATTTTAATATCAAAACATTTTGTCAACTTATTTACCCCAAATTCAATTCTTGATCGGCTTCGTTTACTTTTAGATCCTTTTGCTGGGAAAAGAAAAAATGTACTTATTGTAAATATTATAAAATTTCAAACAAGGTAACTTTAAGTTTCAAATTTAACTCTTATGCAGATAAGCGTTTAACGTCAAGAAGAGTCTGGCTTATAACAAGATGAAAATCTAAGTGTGAGACTAACTTGTAGCTTTTTTCTTTTTCCCGCCCATGAACGTTGTGTCACTCGTTGTCCTGGTCGCAAAATCGAAACGAGAGCTGTCCTCTCCCTTTGTTGGAATAGTTTCCCACGACTCTACAATGCTTTCTAACATGGCATCGAACATCATTGTAATTATATCTTTTCGGATGGAACCTTTGGGGCGAGTTGATATAGAAGCCGAAGAATCACTATTAAGTGGCACAGTAGATTGACCTCTTACTGCAGACCATGCGTCAAATTCACCTTCCAGGCCCGTCCGTTTATGCGTTACCAAAGAACTTTCACGACGTGTAACCGTACGTTGAGAATCCACGTAAAACATTCTGGATAAATTATTAGGTAGAAAGAGTACAAAATAATAATTATGATTGAGAAATGCACATTAAAACTGCTGGAGGCTTATATTTTATGTTTATTCTTCAAGCAGTTTGTCCCAAAGCCAATTTGTCAGTTTTTCTGGCTTATATCATTTTGTAATGTTTTGTAGATCTTTGTCATGAAATGACATTGACTGACAATTTTATTATTTCTACAGATCCGAATATATTATATAGACAAGAATGAGATTTTAATACATAAATTAGTACGCTTGGTTTATGATTTAAATAAGTAATTAGTAGAAAGATACCTAGTTGGTTCTCTAACCCTAGAAGCAACGTCTAGATTGCCAGCTAGATAAGCAGTTCAGCCAACGAATTCATGCTCTCAATGAACCCGACTAGAAGAGCAAAACCCTTTATTCGACCTCGAGTTCGCTCAGGTCTCATTTTTTATTATAGGTATCCAATTCCGTCACACCACAAGTCAAGTCAAGTTTTACGTTTAAAGTATTCGAAACGAATACGCGTTCGGCGCTCTGATTGGCCGGCGCCAATGAACCAACCAATCAGACAACTCGTATTAAGCCCTCTGCTCCATTCACTGTTCTTTGGTACCTACTTTATACAAAAAATAAAAAGCATCACATTTCAAACTGTTTTATTTTAAAGAGAAATTTTATTTTATTTTTTAACTTGCGGTTTGGTTTATCGTGATGGTAGCGTAGTCCACGATGTCCACTCTCCTTCATGGTAGGGGAACGTGCAAACTTTTTATTTAAAATTGATTCACCTGAAAATAAAACATAGTATATGGTTAGGTAGGTACCTATTACCTAAACACACAAGTGTTGTGATTTTTAAGTACCTACTTGAGCATCAGCACTCTTGTCCTTTGTCAACCACACTAAACCTAATCTGATGTCTTCTATATCAATTAAAAATCTAAATAATACCTTGTGCGGGCGTTAAGTTACCATATCATTTAAGCAGCCGTTAAATATTTAAGAATAGTTTCAATATTTAAATTTCGTTTTTATCGTATTAATATTTGAACTTGATATAATGAAAAGTGAAATTATCAATGAGGTATGTAGGAATCGTAGTAATTGGTCAGTCGCAAATAACACCGCTCAACCAACGAGGTATTTACCTATTTTAAAAACACCTTTAATCATTTTATAGGTAATCCACTGACCTAATTTTCTGAAGGGTCTCCAAAACCGCCATATGGTGGCATCTTGATCAAGGTCTTTCTCGTTTGAGATCCACTCGTCAGACGCGGAATCATTCGCTTCTTTTGATTCACCAAGCATCGTCGCCGTAACCGTCGTCGTTATAGCCTGTGTTGATGTCGGCACTGTCGTATTTTCATGACCATAGCACAATGTCAGGACACACAATACTGCACAAGGAACCGATATCTTGAAAAGAAGATAATAACATATTAAGATTTATTTAACCCGATCAGTTGGTTACAAGGATTACTTTATTGACACTTTAAATAACAACATTTACCTTAACACTCATTTTAAACTGAGTAGCGATTTCCTTACGTGATTAAGGTACGAATACTATTTTATTTCTAAACTAGAATGAATAAAACATGTACTTATATCGGGTATTTCAACTTCTACAATGTGGAGCGGACGAGTTAGGACATAAGTAGGTACCTACGATAATGTTAAAGCAATTTCAGTGATCCAAATAATCATTGTGTAAACTGGTAGAGCCGTTTTTATTATTTTAATTATAGAGCTGTTATAATAGACCTATTGTATCTACAACTTTTTATCACCATCTAAAAGTTTTTTAGGATCCTGTGTTAACAATTTTACACATAGGTAGGTACCTGCACCAATTTCAAACAAATAGATACTTATCGGAAACGAACTGTTGCGATGCGTTGGTGTCAGGTAGAAGTTGTTTATTTCTTAGGAACTGTACCAACACATGGATGTACCCATGGTCCTACCTATGTATCGGTAAGTACCAATTTATCATACTTATATTGTAGGTAGGTATGTATGGTGTTTAGCACTCAAATATAGTCAGGTAAAGTACAAGCACATAGTAAACAATGATTAAGTAAGTAAACCTATCGTTTACTCAAGTTATTTCTTAGGTGATTGGAACAGCATTTAGAGCGTGCTTTCAAGCGTGTAGTTCAGTGATACGTGGGGCGGCACGTCAAGCGTTTACTGCGGGCGGTAACTTAAGTACTGCACGCACCTTTCAACAACCACATACGCCACACAGGATACGGACTATGTATTAAATATCAGTGTAACTACATACTCTATATTACAATATTGTAACTATCCCTGCATTATGTAGTTAGTGAAAAAAGTTAAAATAATACAGATACCGTATGCCTGCTCGGTAGTCTCATAGAGAAAAATAAAGAGGGTACATACTACATTCATACATAACCTTAAACCTGTCTCCCATGGGGGTATTTTTTTCAGGGGGAAATCATTCAGATATTTCTCCCGCCCGGGTGAGGCGAGAGGGAGTGTCAGACTCTTACTGACTAAAACCACCCCGATACTACTACATTCAATCTTCCGCGGCTAAAGGTGGGTACGGATTGGTGCAATGCAACATGTAATGTAACATTCTGCCTTACATTGCATGTTCCCTGCTGCCTTGGACGTGTGGCGCGCGCGGTACGCGCATTGACTACGAATCATTCGAAAACATCTGTTCCGCATTTCGTTACAAACACACCCTCGTCACACGTATTCTTGTCTTTGCCCACGTCACTACTTAAGTACACGAACCATGGAGTCTGAAGACAGCCTTCTTGCTCTGACGATTATCAGTGCTTCATTGTTAATCATTCATAAAAGTTTTCATTTTGAGGGTTCCATAAAACTTCCCTTGTTCTGTATTCCTCTATCAATAAAAGTGACTGGACATCACTCCACGCACCCTCTTTCACCGCCATGATCGTTGCGCATGCGAACGAAACGAACGACCGTCCACGGCTAAGTCCTGCGCACACTTCGCGCCCCTTTGTGTTCGTACTAAAAACCAACAAATCTCGGATCGAGCCGCGCATGAGTTGTAACGCTCAGAGCGTGCGCGACCCAGGCGCAGTTCGTGCGCGCGAGGCGTCCACACTATGGGAATCCTGTTACAGTACATGATACATTGCAGCAATGTGGACCTCAAATTCTTGCATTGCATGTTGCATTGCACCAATTTGTACCCACCTTTGGACAGGTAGTATGAAATGTTAATTGCTATGATTTTTACATCTCGTTCGCTTCCTCAAATCTTTTTACGCATGCTCTAACGAGGGTACCAGCCCCAATTTATTTGTAGGTACTAATTCTTACCTAACAATAACATAGAGTTAATAATAAATTAAACCAGTAATCATTTTTCAAGAATTTATTAAAAACAAACATTAGATTGCACACCATTTAGGTACTTAATAATAAAAATAACACTTACACCTATGTGTTTCGCACTCTAGCTCAAATGTAACGAAAATAAATAACTTCCGATGTGACAACTTACTTACTTAGCTTAGCTTATTTAGATAGATAAATACATGTGTTCATATCACAGCTGCATCATTTGGCTATAATACAATTTATTACATTATAATATTTACTTAAGTTAGCGAGGTGTTGATGCTAGAGATAGGATCAAATATGTACAATAAGGGCCAGTGCTCACTGCCGGCACGGCACGGTATGGCAATGGATTTTATTACTAGTCAAGTTATTTTCAATCTTATTTCAATGACTTTAGAGTTCACGTTACTTCATTTCGATACCACATTGCATTTCGCAAGGTAACGGATGCCTTGCATTGGGGAATTATGATTGCTAAGCTAGTTGAAATAAGGTTGTAACTTGCAACTTGCTCTCAGCAGAATGTCGGGATACCGCATCACAATCTGTCGTGCTATGCTGGTAAAGAGCGCCGACTCTAAGAATTTGAAGCAGCGCCTGGGCATCGCAAGATAATCAATATTTTCTGTTAACCTATTTGTTTATTTAATACTGCATTTACAGTAAGCTAATGTTTACATAACAGTTGATTGAGCAACATTATCCGGCGAATATGCAACTAATCATGATTATTCAATTAACAACACAACTTCACACTTTCAGTGTCGAATAAATATTATCAATTTGTTTCGTAATATAACAACAGGCTTATAATTTTCAATGTTATTATTATTATGTATGTATATTGGGGCCGATGAGCTAATTAATATTACATTATATACTACATTACAACGTATGCTTGAGCATTACGATGCCGTGACTAGTCAATTAGGAGGAGCACATAGTGTCGTTGCATAATAGGAATATTTGAAAAAAAATATTTAATTCATAAATACTTCTAAAATATTAATAAAATATTTTTATTCACAGGATATAATAGCTAGCGTAATCAATATATTTTGTTTGAATTTGAACTACTTACATCTTACAAACTATGACAACATATGTACCTAAAAGATTTCAATGAACCTGTATTCTAGTAGACCATCTCATGCCTAGGTGTAATTTCGATGTAATATTAAGTGAAATAATTCTAATTACCAAGTTAATTAATGTGTCTACTTTCTACAAATTACATAAACACTAAGCTGTACAAAATATTAGCAAAGATACATCTTAGCTGCTTCAAGTTGAAACTCCACAATGTAGATAGCTTACAATCTAAGTTAGAGTCCCTTTAGGTTAAGAGACTTTCTACATCAAGCTACTTTTCAATTTTTGTCTGTTATTTCGCCTTTAGGTCGCCGCGTTTACATACTCTGTGAGAAAGGAAGTCGTACTTTCATTATAACGATATTATGAGTAATGATTCGTCTAATATTTATTTAACAGCTCACTTCTTAAATACCCACAATGTTTTTAACATTGTTCTAATATCAATGAACACTTTACATCCAGGCACTAGCTCTTAGATTGTCTACGATGGTGGCACGTCTTCTGTGACACACCCGTATACATGGCTCGAAGGCCAGTCTGCGCCAAGGTCACGAGTCGTGGAGCAGTCTCTGGTAGTGCGGGAACACCTCATAGGGAGGTACGTGCAAGCCAAACTCCAAAGCCACTAGTACTGCGAATTCGAACCGCAACAAATCTTTCCTATTTACTCTGAACGTGGTTTCGATGCGCTGAAAGGATAACAGGCATAAATATCATTATTAAGTTGAAATATCAAACAAAAGATGGTAACATTTCCAAACTGTGTCATTGAAGACTAATAAAAAATAAGTAGTTACTGTCTTACCTCTATAAGCGACTTCAAAGCTTCTCCTTTCACGTCATTGAGTTTCGCAGACAACAGTAAACACGCTCCAGCACATAATTTCCTATTGTCTTTGTTAATGAGATTTGCAAGAATCAATTTCTCAAAGTAAACATATGCCTGGGCGACTGACAGTAAATCAACTCCACCACTGTCGTGTTTAGCAATCTTACGCATTTCTTTCTTGATGCTGTAAATATGGTACAAGGGACAATTAGTATTTAACATATTCGAAAGTACATCAAAATTGTTATGAATTTACCTTCTTAATTTACTGAGAGTCAATTTTATATGAGGGAACTTCTCTCTGAACTTATCATTTAGTTCCTTTTTGAGGTCTTGTGGCCGCACATAGTCAATGATAGACGTCATGTAGGATGTGAACGTCAGAAGTGTTCTGTGCTTGCCAGCTATGAGCTCTGGGTCATCTAGCACATTGGGGCAGTATTGAACCTATAACAAAATTAATTCTATGTAGTGAAGTATTGCAAAGACCATTGCATATTCTATTGCTTCAAGGATCAAAAGATTAATTACTATAAAGTTATATACACCTACATATTTTTGCGAGAGTAACGTCCCTTCATCCCAGTCAAATGTTTTCATATCAACTGAAGAGTGTGGTGGAGATGATGGAATTGCAGTCCTCTGAGATGATTCATAAGAAAAACACCTAAAAAGATAACAATAGTAATTATTTCAATCATAATTTTTACAGATGTGCAGGCTTATTGTTTTGATGTCAGAACAAATAAATTAGCATGCATTTAGTAATTTGTTAGTTAGATGTGGTGTTATAACATGCTCTAAACTTCTAAATACAAGGTTGTTGTACTTGTTAATTGTGTTTGGAACCTCTCCACCTCATATGTCATATTCCCAATAGTCATGCATGCTCTATCTAAAATCATTCTCTAGCTGTGAACTTCGTCATATCCAAGCCAGGTTTGTTGAATGAATTACCATGATTAGTGGGTGAGGTGAGTTTTACGTAATTAGTAATTGTAACATGGATTTACATAGTAAAAGGTAAGTGGAGAATATACTAAAGTTTATCATTAGAAACCAATTACTCCCAAATATCAAGCTATAAAAATATTCACTGCACAACACCTAGAGTAACCTGGTAATATGATTACTTGACCAAAACTAAGCAGTATAAAATACAAATTATCCTACTGTATATTGTGAAATATACAGAAACAACTCCATAGTTTTAGCAGGGACATAATAGCATTAGCAAAATCTAAGTGTTGCATAGCAGATTTTAATCTGTTCAGTGTTTACCATTTTTTATCCTTGTGCCTCGTCAATAACTTAGTCCTGAAAGTCAAATTTGTTAGTGATGAAATGATTGTGAAGATCGTATGAATTTCAAAATGCATTCTATAGTAATGTATGCAAATACCAATGTCTGGAACATTTGTAAGATAGTTGTGAGTGTATGTTTGTGAACATGTGTAAATGTTTGTTTTAATAACTGATAAATAATGTAAGATGTGAAGTGCACTGCATCATATTTGTAAATGTTTTGAGTCCATTAAGATCTAATATTGATAATAAGTTATTTATTGAGTATAGAAATGTAAACTAAACACACTGCAAACAACGTTATGTAGAAATCAAGAAAACAACATCAACACAAAAATCAAAAAGATTGGGGATACATTTAATTTTCATTGCATTTTTGATATTATTTGTTTCTGTATGTAGAATCACCTAATCACATACATAATATAGTATTAAATAGAGAAGATGGCCACTCATTGAAAATGTAAAACATTCAAATAACATGCACAACACATGGTCTGTGTAAACATCTAGAAGGTTGATACTCCAGAAATAACATCAATATTACACTTCAACATGATACTTATTTATACTTGGACATATTGATGGATCTATTCTGCATTTAATGCTACCACTTGCATTAATTCTTAAGAACTTACAAATCAGAAGAATCACTTAAAGTGGTCAGTAGTTTAAAATGTTAACAAAACCAAAATTACCTGGCTATCACATGGGGATGTCTGTTTACTATTTTCCAATTAGCCTTCTCAGTGAAATCACCTTCATACATTTTTTTATACTGCTCCCTAGTACATACTTTTGAAGGCACCAACAGCTTTGAGTATGATATTTCCTGACCGTTTTCTTCCTTCTCCAAACCAAGAAGGTCAAAGGGATCCATACCATTGTCGGTAATGGATGAGAGTGGTCTTGGCCCTGAGGTGTTTCTCCTCCTAACACCATCCTTTCTTAGATCAGAACTAAAAAGAAAAAGTGCAGTGTGGTTTATCTTTACCTAAGTTAAGTCACAGGTTTCCATACAAATAATCAGACAAAATAGTTTACCGTGCATTGCGAACAGTCTTAGAGTATGGTATAGTGCTGAATATAACACAAGGGGCACCCTGTCCTGGTGCTATTGCTAGTCTCTCATCCCTGAATGAAACTCCTTTAGTTGGTCTTACCATGCGGACCTCTTTTGTTAATGCATGATGTTCTGGGATACAAGTGTTACTGGTTCTAAACTTGCCTGAAAAGTTATTACATTCACAGTAAATGTCAGTCCACAGATAAGGTCACAAAGAACATAGAATAGACAATGAGTTATTTACCAAAGTTAAGGCTTTCTGAACTGCTCTTTTCATCTGCATTAGAACCAGTGAGGGTAACAAGGTGAGTTTTCCTAGATCTAGATGAGCCATGCTTTTCCTTAAATGATTCTGTTGTTCCCGAAGAACATCTATAAAACAAGAAATGTATTCAATAAGTTAAGCCATTAGAATACAAGACACTTTCCTTTTATTGTTACTAAGTAATTTAGTAAAATAGTTTTATCAAAATTGTAGAGTTATTTATAAGATTATTGATTATTTTTAATCTTTATTAATTTATCTACAATCACAGCAGATAGGCAATATAATAGATTTTAGTTGATTTATGGATTATTATCAGTTGTAACTGAGTATGTTTACATTTAACAAATATTAAATTAATGAGAAATATTATAAATAAATGGTAATGGTTAAATTATAAAATAATTTAATTACTTTGTTACCATATTTAGCTTCACAATTCAATGGGGTAAAGCAGTAATTTGTTAATTAAAAATACAATAAATAAGGTAAATATGGACTAATGTTACCTTTCCCTGATGAAAGAAGTATTTATACCCTTTACAGGTGTTATAGTGTTGGTGTGTTCTGAATCTGAGCTAACAGAATGATTGTCGGCGCCAATACGGTGGACTGGGCTTGAATTTGACCCTTTATTCTTGTGTCGGACACTGTTTCGTAAAGCAGTATCTTTAACAATATCAATTGCTTTTGAAGCCGATTCTATTTTGTCTTTTTTGGGGGTTTTTTCAACTACATGAACCAACTCCGGGTCTCTCATCTTCCCATCTAATGATATATTTGATAAAAATGTCACAGCAGATAAACGTCTTCGAGCTTTCTCATATTTATTGCGATTGTTAGACATCGTTGTAATGTTTATGTAAGCTCGACGCTGATTATTCTGATAACTGACCCCACTTATATCGAATAACTAAGCAGTTTATATAAAAATAAACTTTTGCAAGGTTCCGCCAGACTTCAACACGCAAGCACAGTGTTCATCAAATTAAAACTTCAAGGAATTATGAAAACTGAAGCAAGTCAAGATCAATCTAATTATATTTAAATAGATCCAGGGCCGTCACACTTAGAGCCATTGACAGCTTTAAAAATCGGACCGTCAGCTACATCTAGTTTTCGAACCTGAAATTAAATGTTGTCAAAACTTTTTTTTTTGTTGTCAAAACTAATATTTTCAGTGGCCACACAGTTCCAACCAAGGTTGCAACATTATTTCAAAATTTAGGGTTAAAATAATATTTTTTGGAAATAGTACATTAACATTATACACATTTATTTAATACTATATTGCAATTTTTACAAAATAATTCTTTAAACTTAGATCAAATGACAGTTATGCTGGCATAATCGTTCAAAGATGACGGCCTTTTTACTAATAAAGAGATTAAAAAGATATCAAGTGATGGATGACAAACTAAACTCTATAAAGTGACTGCGTCAGGTTTCTGCATCCAAAAGCATTAACCTAAGAGCCTGTGAACCACAGGTCTAGGCCACCGTTTTTATTATATAAAAACTAATATTATATGAAAATACTCAATTTTCATAGGAAATCTATAAAATAGGTTACATACATTCTTTCTGTCTCCCTATCACACACACACACACACACATTCACACACACACACACTTAATCTTCCTCGATAAATGCACTAACACCAAAATGAACTTTAATTCCAATTTTAGTCTGGAGCCTTCTTGCACGGTTTGCCAATCTGAACTAAACGCATTGAACAGAGCTGTTAAAATGGTTCTAGACAGCGACTAGAGTAAGAGTACTGAGTGACTCTATGTCCTCCCTCGATGTCTTGAAGAACCCCAGGATTAGCCACTGTTTGGCGGAAGAGATAAAGCAGTGTTTGGAGACCGTAATGGAACAGGGAAGAGAGAATCGATTTTTGAAAAGTAATCCGAGATTTTTTATCTAAAGAATATAATGCGCAAAACGCTAACGGCCATGATTGAGCATCGTATGACGTCACATTTGAATAAACAAATAGTTCCTTTCTTTGGTCTTGTATTTATCTCTGAAAATGATACGTATACTATTTCAATTTATGTTGTTTGAAGCTTAAGGAAATGGAGTCAGGCTACATAAAAGTCTAGTTCAAATCTATCTAAAGTGGATTCATTTCTGGTCGCAAACTTCTTTGCATGAAACCCTGACTTTTGTTCTGCAGAGTTTCGGAATGTAAAACTTCCGAGTAAGTAACGATAAAGTACATCAATTCTATTTGGGCAAGTCGTTTTGTGTAGTTCTTAAATCAATTACTTTAAAATTTATTAAAACATTTCAAATCACTTATAGTTCGAAACTAGTAGAGCTTTTCTCAGTATATTCACGTGAGTAACCCGCGTTTTTACTTAATTTAGTATGTCTCACGATAGTTATTATAAAAACATATATTAAACTGTCAAACACCAAGCGGTCACCGGTGACCGCAACCTATTGTTCTTTAATTGTGTCTATAATGACGGTACTCAACGCAAATTATGTAAACAAGTTTACTACAAACTGACAGATTATCTTGATGATAATAATGCTAGGCAGTTTGTTGGTTTGGCTTCACTGCAAAATACTCAAATTTAGTCAGTAGTTAGTTAGGTTCCAAAAGTAGGTAATATAATTCTAATATAGATAATATAGTTTTCATATGGCATCGAGCATTTCTTACTTTATTGAAACAAAGCGCAATTTTTATAAA